AAGTCAGTGATGATGAAATTGAAGAACTCTATCAACTTCTTCAGAGTCCTGGCATGGCACTGTAAGATAAGCACTGGACTGCTAACAACAGAATCAGTGGATCAAAGCCACCAGCCGCTCCTTGGAAATCCAATATAAGATTGCTATGAGTTGGAATCAATTGTACGACACTTAACAACAATAACAACCAACTTCTTCAGTCTGAAATTGATCAAACATGCACTCAAGATGCATTGATAATTACTGGTGATCGGAATGTGAAAGTTGGAAACAAAGAAGGATCAGTAGTTGGAAAATATGGCCTTAGTGATAGAAACAATTCTGGAGAGCGTGTGATTGATTTCTTTTTTTATTAGTTGCAAATGCATTGTTTAAACAACATAAAAGGTGTCTATGCACCAGATGGAATACACAGAAATCAAATTGACTGCATCTGTGGGAAGAGACAACGGAGAAGCTCAGTATCATCAGTGAAAACAAGGCCAGGGGCAGATGGTGGCAGAGACCATCAATTGCTCATATGCAAGTTCAGGCTAAAGCTGCAGAAAACTAAAACAACTCCACAAGAGCCAAAATGTGACTTTGAGTATATCCCATCTGAATTTAGAGGCCATTCCAAGAACAGATTTGATGCATTAGACACTAAAGGAAGACCAGAGGAATTGTGGGATGACATCAAGAACATCATACTTGAAGAAAGCAAAAGATCATTAAAAATAAACAAGGAAAGAAAGAAAAGACCAAAATGGATGTCAGAGGAGACTCTGAAACGATTTTGAATGTAGAGAAGCTAAAGGGACTAAAAGAAAGGAAGTAAAAGAACCAAACAGAAAATTTCAAAGGGAAACCCAAGAAGACAATGTGCAAAGACCTGGAGTTATGAAACACGAGAAAAGACCACACTCATTATTTTTCAAGCTGAAAGAGCTGAAGAAAAAAAAAATTCAAGCCTTGGGTTGCAATGTTGAAGGATACTATGGGCAAAATGTTGAATGATAATGGAAACATCAAAAAGAGATGGAAAGAACGCAGAGTCACTGTACCCACCCCACCCCGCAAAAAAAAGGTATATGTTCAATCATTTCAAAAGCTACCATACGATCAAGAACCGATGGTATTTCAGAAACAAGTCCAAGCAACACTGAAGCCATCGGCAAAAAACAAGGCTCCAAGAATTGACAACACCAACTGAAATGCTTCAACAAACTCGTGAAACATTAGAAGCATCCACTTCTCTGGGCCAAGAAATGTGGAAGACAGTTATCTGGTCAACTGATTGGAAGAGATCCATATTTGTGCCCCTTCCTAAGAGAGGTGACCCAATGGAAAATCATTGATCAATATCACATGCAAGTAAAATTATGCTGAAGATAATTCAAAAACAATTGCCACCGTACATTAACAGGTAATTGCCAAAAATTCAAGTTGGCATAAGAGATATCAATGTTGATATCAGATGAATCTTGGCTGAAAGCAGAGAATACCAAAAAGATATTTACTTGTGCTTTATTGACTATATGAAGACATTTGTGGATGATAACAAATTATGGGTAACATTATGAAGAATGGATATTTCAGAACACTTAATTGTGCTCATGAGGAACTTGTATGTGGACAAAGTGGAAGTCATTTGAACAAAACAAGGGGATACTGAATGGTTTAAAATCAGGAACGTTGTGTGCCCGGGTTGTATCCTTTCAATCCTATACCTGTTCAATCTTCATGCTGAGCAAGTAATCCAAAAAGCTGGATGATGATCTGGAGTCAGGATTGAAGGAAAGCCATTAACGGTCTGTGATATGTACCACCTTCCTTGCTGAAAGTGAAGACAGGAGAAGAATCAATGCATTTGAACTATGGTGTTGGTGAAAAACATTAAAAGTACCACAGTACCAGAAGAATGAGCAAATCTGTCTTGGAAGGAGTACAGCCAGGATGCTCCTTAGAAGAAAGGATGTGAGACTTCATCTCTCCTACTTTGGACATATTGTCAGGAGGGACAGTCCCTGGAGAAGGACATCATGCTTGGAAAAGTGGAGGGTCAGTGAAAAAGAGGGAGACCCCTCAATGAGATGGGTTGACACAGTGAACACACTGCAGCAGTGGGTTCATGGGTGACAATAGTTCTGAGGATGGTGCACAACTGGACAGAGTTTTGTTTGGTTGTACATGAGTTGTGCAGAACGGACTCAACAATACATAACAACAACAGTAACAACCACCAAGATTTCCTGGACTGGAAAAGCGAAGAGGAGAAGAACAGTATTGCCATCCTCCCTCCAAACCAACTGCAGGAAGGTACCACAGAAACCTGACAGGTCTTAGAGGTACCTAAGAACAGAGGAGACCTTGGAGAATATCAGAAGAAAACTCAAAGCTCCAATCAGCTGTTCTTTCTTAATGAATCTGGGCAGACTGATTAAAGGCAGGGCTGCCACACACAAATATTTATGCAGGTTGGCCACAGCACATTCTCCTGTGCAGGCCTTCACACCATGCCTGAGACAGTCTTACAGCGCTCTCGGAATTTCAGTGAGGTGAAGAAAAGCAGCTTTCTCCCTTTGGGTCAGCAAGGAAGGTGACACGGTAGAGCAGGGGCTAGCACACTACATACAGTCCAATCTAGCCCCACTGCCAGTTAGTGTAAATAGAGTTTTATTGGAACACAATCCTTCTCATTTGTTTACATGGTTTCTATGGCTGCTGTCTTGCTACAATGGCATTGTTGAGTGGTTATGACAGAAACCATATGGCCCACAAAGCTGAAAATATTTCATCTCTGGCCCTTTTTAGAAGATGTTTTCCGATCCTTGCCATAGTCTGGCAGTCAGCCCAGACCCAGATCTGAGGACCAGATGGAGACCTGGAGGTCTCAGGAGACACCAGTGTGGCCAGAGGACAATTATGGCATCTTATTATTCCCCTGCCCACCATAATAGCTCTGAAGAACCAGGACCTGTCAGACCCCTGCAAACTTAGATGCAAACCCAGGAAGGTGGGCGAAAGATCCTGAAATATGTCAAAGGGGGCCCCAAATGAAAATTAGGTTTATAGTTTAAAAAAAAAAATAAAGTCACATTTCTTGCCCGTTTGCATTTATAAACTGAGAAGATACCCTGTCCAGTCACAGGGCTAGGTTTGCAGATTCTAGGCTAACTGTTCAACACCCACCCCCTTTCACTACCCACCTTTGTTCTATCCAGGTGAAGCTCTAGACCAGGTGCCAACTTCAGAAGCTCCATTCCCATGGCGTGGGTCAGGGAGATGGCACTTCCTAGGCTCATACCCTGCCTATGGGCCTGCCTTCTTGTTCACCACCCAAGAGGGCCTAGAGGATGGGGAGGGTCATCAGAGTCGATGGCAATCAGTGTCAGAAGGTGGTTCAGGTAACCCGACAGACCTTCTCTCTGGGGAAGTTTCAAATGAAACTGTACAAAAAGCCAGAGTCCAGGAGAGGGGAGCAGAACCCAGATGTAGGCCGATAGATAGGGTCTTGGTGAGAGCCAGGACTACAGAGGCTGAGCGACCATACAGGTTAGGAGCAGTGGGCACCACTGTTGTTGTTGTTGTTGTTAGGTGCCATTGAGTCGGTACCAACTCATAGCAGCTTTACACACAGCAGAACGAAACACTCCGCGATCCTGGGCCAACCTCACTGCTGTTGACATGCTTGAATCTAGTTCTTCTCACTTGCTTGTATGGTGGCTCCATCTTCCTCCTGGGTTCTACTACAGGCATCTCTATGCAAAATGACTGTCACCTGTCTTTCAGACTATGTGCTTGACTTACAACCTAAGCTTTTTGGTTTTTGTCATTGTTGTTAAGTGCCATTGAGGTGGTTCTGACTCCTATCAACCTTGTATAGGGTTTCCAAGGCTATAAATCTTTACAGGAACAGAAAGCCTCATCTTTCTCTCTTGGAGTGATTGGAGGGTTTGAACTGCCGACCTTATGGTAAGCAGTGTAGTGTCTATCTTACAGAGCCACCTGAGTTCAGGGAAAGTTAGGATTTTGTGCAAAATCCAGCATTGTCCTGCTGTTAGGGAAAGAGAGACATTCGTTGGAGCTTTCTAGATCTGAGCAGAAGTCAGAAGCTATGCCTGTGAGTCTAAAAGGGGCAGTTTTAGGATGATGCTTGAGAGATTTAGCTCAAGAGGTCACTGCCCAAGAAATAGTCCAGGTATAAAGGCTACAGAGCAGCTGCTGGAGGAGGCTGCCTCAGGGAGGGGCAGGGAGGGTACTGTGCAGACTGAAGGTGTCAGACTGAGCAGCAGTGTTATGGGGTCACCATGGGACCTCTCCTTCACACCTCACTCCAGGGACAGTCTCAGGTGGTATCACCTCCAACTGCCCAGGTAGCTCCACAAGGAGGACAATCCTACTGCCGGAAGCTGTTGGTGGCCAAAGGGATGGTCCAGCCCAGAGCCCAGCATCCTCAGCAGAGTGGCCTTCAAGTCTGACTCCTGGTGACGTCATGAGCAGAACTGCGCTCTGTGGGGTCTTCATGGCTGTGATCTTTAAGGAAGGAGACCATCACATCTGTGTCACGGATTGTTGTTTTTAAGGGATTCCAACTCATAGCAACCCTGTGTAGGGTTTCTGAGGAGTGATTGGTGGGTATGAACCACTGATCTTGCATATAGCAGTCTAGTGCTTAGCCTACAATGTCACACCTGGACTCTGTGGCACAGCTAAGGGGGTTTAAACTGCCAACCTTCCAGTTAATAGGCAAGTGCAAACCATTTGTGGCATTTGAGGACTTCATTCTAAGGAGGAAGGTTGAATCTCTTGCCCAAGACACAGACACTGGATTGGTTTCCAAGACAATGTTTATTTCCAAAACTGAGGCCACAGTACAAAACTCCCCCTCCCTGGTCTGCTCACTTCTTCCCTACAATTTTTGAACCTCCACAATAAGAAGCCTCTTTGGGTTACAGACTACTTCTGTAGAATACGCCTGCGTGACTCCTCCAGGCCGACTGAGTTGGATGGCCTTCCAGTCACAGCTCCATGTGCTCCGTCTTTGGTGATATCTTTGCTGCCTTCTTAGCCAAGACCTCAGTCCAGAGAGCCACCTCTTTGTCTTTCAGCTTCTGGGCTGTTTTACTGGTGACACCAATCTGTAGGTACCCTTCCTTCTGGTCATACGCTGGCCAGTGGGGCAGCCCCTCTCCATTGGGGTCCCTGGGAACAGAATCAAATAGGAATTCTCCAAAGTTACGGCATGAAGCGACCTTCTGAGACCTGTGGGTATTCAGCTCTGCTAAGTGGTTCATCCCCTTCCAATACAAGTTGCTTACCACCTCTGGGGAGTGCTTACCCACCTTTAGAGAACTTTCATTCTTAAAGTTCATAGAATCAAAAGCTTTACCACTCAAACCTCTGAAGACAGCTGTTACTGATAGGTATGCCCTGCTTCCCATGTCCCTAGCCCTGGTTCATCTTTGCCACAAGTCTCACCCATTCCGAGCAAAATTAGCCCACAATTTCATCACCATCTTGCTGAGTTTGACCTCCTCTTCTGGGGCTCCCTCTGTGGGGAAGAAGAAGAAGATAAAAGTCTTTGCTAATTAATGTATGGACTCCTGGTGTGGTGCTGTAGGATCAGCACTGGACTGCAAACCAAATGGTCATAGTTCAAACCCACCAGCTGCTCCTTGGAAACCATAGACAGAGTGGCTATGTGACTCGATGGCACCAACAGCATCAGAATTATTTGGGACTCAGAAAAATTGCAAAATCTTGGCCCTTATCAGACCTACTGATTCAAAATCTACATTTCATCCTGATCCTGGAGAATTTGCGGGTGCTTTACAGGTTTATAATTACAGTCTAGGACTCAGCCATGGGTCCACAGTCAATCTCTAAGCAGGCTGCATTTATATTTTTGTGCCCATATGACCCTCAGGCCCTTCAGAATACCACGTCCCCCAGCTTTGTCCACTACAACACCAATTCCCAAGGCTGCTCTTCCTTGGGCACTTTCTCCATCTCGTCTGAAATAAACAGAGTTAAAATGCCCTACAGAGTTATCTAACCAGGACATAACTAGAGGCATGGACAGCCATGAGGTGGGTCACAAATCATCTGAAACACCTAGTAACAGCTGTCAAAGAATTTCCTTAAAATATTATACTACTAATATAACACGTTTAAAAAAAATATGAGTTATAGATAGATATTAAGATAGGTGGTAGATAGCTGATAAAATATCTATTGTTGTTGTTAGGTGCCATTGAGTTGATTTTGACCCATAGTGACCCTGTATAGGATTTCCAAGGAGCAGCTGGTGAGTTTGAACCTCTGATCTTGTGGTTCAAATTGACCTTGCAGTCCATCACATTATCCTGTAGCACCAAACCAGGACTCCAGATACATAGATAGATGGTGAACTACAGGCAGAAACATAGACAAACCAAAGGACACACACACACAAACACACGTAAGAACTAATTCAAAGTTAGCACAGGTCAGACCTCATTCTCACTCACATCTCTTATGCCCTTGTGAGTGGGAGAGGAAGTGGCACTTTAGCCCTTGAGCAGGGCCCTGCAAGTGGCTGGCCTACCCCCTGTCTTCTTTTCTTTCTTTTTTAAAAGTTTTTATTATGAACTGAGTGATAGTTTACATGATAGAACATTGGCTTTACACCATCATTTCATTGCAATGATTACAGTCTCCTCCGTGCATCATCACTCAACAGTATTTGCTTCCATTTCCTCTGTTTTTTGGGGGTGTGTGTGTGTAGCCACATTCTGCAAGCCTGCCTCCTCGCTGCCAGCATCCAGGCCCTCTGTTTCCATGAGTCCAGAGTGCTCAGCTGCTCTCTGTTTCCATGTCCCCATCTCTGCCTCCATCTCTGGTGTTGCTGCTTCTCTGAATTGTGTCCTGCATTCTGCTTGTGTTCTTCTCCCTTGATGGTCCTAGGGTCCTCTGTTTCTGGATTGTAAGATTAACCACTCCTCCATTTTTGTTACAAAACTTCTACCTTTACAGTTGTGACAGTTGCAATTAGTCATGATAACAATTACTCACTATTGAATCTTAAGAATCTTATCCCCATCTCTTTTCACCAGACCCGTCTAGATAAGATGAAAACTATTCAGTGGGGACTCTATCTTCCCCACACACTTTTAAATGAAACTCCCTCTTGAAATTCTGTAAGCCAGTCATTTCGTGCTTTTATTGCCCCCTCATTTTAGGCAGCCAGTGTCTAAGTTTGCCCATCCCTATCTACCCTGTATACAGAGGGGATAGGATTGATACTTGATGTGAAGACTCCTTCCCCTTCAGTTGGTCTTTTGAGCTACTACATCAATAAGTATAGGTCAAGTTCATCAAATTCATCATCACTTCCTTTATCAAAAAAATTTTTTTTAACTTCCTCTAGTTGAGTTCTGATTATCAAGCCATTGAGACTAGGCCAAATGCCTGCCCTTGTCTTAATGAGGCCACAAGTCTGAATTCTGAGAGTGACCTTAGGTCAGGTGGATGCACATCCGCCATCATGTAATAATAAGAGCTCTCCAGCTATAAAGACTGGGAGCTGCCCAGGGAGTCCAACTCTATGATGGTGAATTCAGGAAACTAAAGGTGGGAAATATGGAGGCTCTTGCCTCCAAACTGAGATTTGAGCAAAGATCTCCTGATTCCAAGATCATAGTCAGCAAAGAGCCATCACCTTTTAAAAACGGAGCCCCGAAGACCGAGAAGAGTTCATCTCCGTGGTCTCCTATCACCGTCTTGGGTCTCATCTCTGGTGAGAAGCTTGGGCGATGCTGAAATTCGTACATGTAGGTGGGGGCTCCAGCATCTGAGGAAACATGAATTCATTCATGCTCAGGTCATTTCACCACATGCAAACCGGGATGGTCAGGGCCTTAAGCACTCGCGGATTTGGCACACACCTGGGTACTGAGTATACCACAACAACCACATTTAATAGCAACTGTCCTTTGTGAGTGCCAACTGTGTCTTGGGCACTGTGTGGTCCCACAGGAGCACCTTGGGTATTGCAATTGAGAAATGGCATTTCAGGACAGCTCATTACTCACTTAAGACTGCACAGCTGGTGGATGTGGGGGAAAGGGTTGTATTTGTTGAATGAATAAGTGAATGTTGAATGAATGTATACCGAAAGTTCTACATCAATCCATACAAATTGATGGTCACTATAGGGCACTGAAGGAGCTCTGATCGAGCAGTGGTTACAAATCGGGCTGATAATCTCATGGTCAGCAGTTCAAAACTACCAGCTGTTCCATAGGAGAAAGATGACACTTTCTGCTCCCGTAAAGATTTACAACCTCGGAAACCCTATACAGGGTCACTGTGAGTCAGAACCGACTCCACGGCACATAACAACAACAACACAGGGCACTGAGGCCTGGGGTGGGACTGTGGGTTAATGTACCAGACTGCAAAGCCATTTGAACTGTAAGGTTGAAGCTCACCAGCTGTTCCTCAGAAACCCTAGACAGGGTCGCTATGGGTCAGAATCAACTCGACAGCACTTAACAACAACAACAATGACCACATAAGACACTAAGTCAATTCACATAAGCCCCTTTGCCTACTGATGCATTCACACATACACAAATCTATATATATCCATTGTAAGCCATTATGTTTCCTTGAGAACAGACTCATGTTCCTTTGGAGAATAACTATAGCCTCACAGGTGTCTTCTACTTTCCCCAGTTGTGACCATTTCCACTGTCTTTCCAACCTGTGCTGAGAAGAGTAAAGTAAATCAAGTTGTTCGTCTGAAAGCGAGGCTATTGAAATACAAACACATGCAGAATGGGAACAATCTGTCTTGTGTCTCAGGCAGCCACAAGCTCAGCATTTCATAATTCAATCCCCTCTGGTATCTTACTTCCTGCCTGGCCCAGGGAGTGCTCAGTGGTGGCCCAAAGAAAAGGGGCCAGGGAAGGACAAACTTCCCTCCCTCCCTCTCTCTCTCTCCTGTTCTCCAGCCCCTCCTCTTGCCACTAAAGAGTTTCTGCCTAAGTCCCCCAAAAGATGCAGATTTTCTGTAGACTGGCTCATCAGAGCTAACCCTCAAAGCTAACTTACGGCTGCCTGACTCCTATTGGTCACAATGTCCATAGAGAAGGGATTCTGACAGCGTCAGGCCCCAGGTAACACTTATTGTTATAGGCCACTTGGTCAATCCACATAAACCCCTTTGCCTACTGATGATTTGCACACAATGTATACATATGTACACATCTATACATCCAGCCTTATCTATTGTGTTTCATTGATAACAGACTGATTTCCATTCTTTTAGAGAATATTTATAGCCCAACAGGAGTCTTCTATTTTTCCTAGTTTTGCACATTTTCACTGGTGGAAAAATATTACGACTTGTCACCCTAAGTACAGTAAAAAACTTGCAAAATGCAGAAAAAAAAATCAAAAGGAACATTTATAATTCTACTGTTCAGAGAAAGCCTCTGTTAATATTTTAGCACATATGCCTTTAATACGTATAAAATGGAGATAATATCGTATATGCTATTTTGTATTATGGAATCTTTGTGAGTCTCTGCAGGATAATGCACTGGATCACAAAGTCAGTTTGAACTGCAAGGTTGGCGGTTCAAACCCACCAGCTGCTCCTTGGAAACCCTATACAGGATCACTATGGGTCAGAACCGACTCGACGGCACTTAACAACAACTATTGTTGTTGTTGTTGTTGTTAAGTGTCGTCGAGTCGGTTCCAACCCATAGCGACCCTGTACAGGGCTTCCGAGGGTGTAAATCCTTACGGGAGTAGAAAACCTCATCTTTCTCCCACGGAGCGGCTGGTAGTTTCGAGCTGCTGACCTTAAGGTTCGCAGCCCCATTCGTAACCACTACGCTACCAGAGCTCCTTAACAACAACTATAACGTTTTGTAATATGGGAGCACAGTGGCTCCATACAATAAGCACTAGACTGCCAACTACAAAGTCTACAATTTGAGCCTGCCTGCCACTCTGTAGGAAAAAGATGAGGTTCTCTGCTCCCATGAAGATTTAAAGCCTCAGAAACCCTATACAGGATTGCTATGAGTCAGAACTGACTCCACAGCACTTAACAACAATAACAAATTTTGTAATAAACTATATCATTTCTTTACATTGTCAAATATTTACCCACAAAATGATTAAAAATCTACAAGGGCACGTAAAAAATATTGCTACAAAATCCTGCTCTCATTGTTGCTTTTGAGAACCATCAAGTTAGTTTTGACTCGTAAAGACCCGGTGTAGGCTTTCCAAGAAATGGCTGGCTGGTGGGTTTGAACCACTGACCTTGTGGTTAGTAGTCCTTGAATATTCTCCACATAGGTCTGCACAGTTCTGAAGAATTTTGTGTTCTGATTTACACCACGCCAAAAAGACAGTATCCTAGAGGCTCTTGAACCATGATTATTTTCAATGTTGTTTCCTTTGTGAGAACGTAAGAAGTCTGGAGGGGCAAGATCAAGGTTGTAGGGTGGATGAGGTGAGGTTTCCCAATGAAATTCTCATTAGACAGCTCTTGTTCCTCTTGAGAATGAGCAGGTGCATTGTCATGATGGGCAAAAATCCTCAAGGCAATTTTTCTGACCTTTTTCTCACCAATGTAGCTTTCAATTTTCTTAAAGTTCCTTCATAAAAAGACCCCATGATTGTCCTTTGAGAAAATCTATCCATATCATCCCTTGGAACCTCTCCCCACCAAAACAGTGTCCATAACCTTCTGAGCTGACCTCTCTGCCTTGAATGTAACTGGCCTGGCAGAGCCCATCAGAAGCCACTGTTTTGATAGGAACTTTTATTAAGGCACAGAACCGACTCAGTGGCGTACCACCACCACCATCAATGGAGTTCTGGTGTAGCACTGTAGGATAATCACGCCACCATAATGTCAGTTTGAACCACAGGGTTAGTGGTTCTAATTCACCAGCTGCTCCTCAGAAACCCTATACGTGGTCACTATGAGTCCATACTGACTCAACGGCACGTAAGAGCAACAATAAAACTAAGGAGTGCTGGTGTGGCGCTGCAGGATAATGCACTGGACTGCAAGGTCAGTTTGAATCATAAGTTCAGTGGTTCAAATCCACCAGTCGCTCCTTGGAAACCCTAGACATGGTTGCTATGAGTCTGAACCGATTCAATGGCGCTTAAGAACAACAGCAACAATGAAACTGAGACAAGTTTATTACTGAGAGAACTTGTCAGCAGCCCTTCACTGAGCACAGAGTCATGTCTAAAGTTGTTTTGTTTGAAATAAACACATGCATGGATGAACTGGAGCTCTGGTAGTGTAGTGGTCACGAATTGGGCTGCTAACCTCAAGGTCAGCCGTTCGAAACTACCAGCCATTCTATGGGAGAAAGATGAGGCTTTCTACTCCTGTAAATCTTCCATAAAGATTTACAGCCTCGGAAACCCCGTGCAAGGTCACTATGAGTCGAAACCGACTCCACGGTACTTAACAACAAATGGGTGAACTGGGATCCTAGTAGCAATCCTTTTTGACTTACCTTTGTATGTCATCCCAGCATGAGGGTTTGTCCTTGGGTAGTACAAACAGTTCATAGGTTTAGGTGCTAACCGAAAGGCTGACGCTTCAAGCATACTCAGAAGTACCTCAGAAGTAAAGTCTGGCGATCTATGTCTGAAAAATCAGTCAGTGAAATCCCTATAGAGTACAGTTCTACTCTTGCACACATGGGGTTCCCATGAGTTGGACTCAACTTGGTGGCAACTGGACCAGAAACATGAGGATTTAGTATTTAATCCTCTCACTCACTACCCCCATCATTGCACCCATGATTTGGTAAGAAGCACTGTTTGGAACAATCAGTCTTTATGTGGCTCATAATCCACCTGTTAAACAGCTGTTGCCATGCCAAGCAGAATCTGCTGAAAGGAATTGATTTAACCTTGTCTCTGCCACTTAAGCATTTTAGAAAGGCAACAGAACCCAACCCTAGAAGAAAGGCCTTCTGTAAATGAGAAAACTTGTTTCAGACAGCATCTTGTCCCAAAGAAATTCTTCTTCTTTTCAACTTTCAGCCTAAAATCACTGAGATTTATAAAACTCCTACAATCACAACACAGGTTTTCAAAGGAAATCAGGGCACAGATTTGGATAATTACAATTAGGAACAAGAGAGGCAATGTCAGGGAGAGACAGCTAATAATCAAATATTTGCAAATTAAAATACAGCTCGATGTTCTTTTTTTGGTGGGATAGGGCTTATGAAATTGCAGCATTTTTTAAACCTTAGTATTCCAAGTGGGAAAGAGAGTGAAGGCATATACACTAGAGCCAAGCTTCATTTGCTACCGGGGCATGACTCAAAGTGAGAAGAAGCAGGTGCAAGCATCCAATATAATCAGAATATAATAATTATCAGAACATGGTATCTACGAAATAGGAATTTCATCAAAAGTGAAATGGAACACATAAAGATGTCTATCCTAGGCATTAATGAACAGAAATGGGCAGATATTACCATTTAAAATTGGACAATCACACGGTATACTATGCCAGGATGGCAAATTCAAGAGAAATGGTGTTGCATGCATTGTCAAAAAGAACATTTCCAGATCTACCCTGAAGTATACTGCTGTCTGAGATAGGATACCTGTGCCTTGAAAAGGAGATCAGTTAATAGAACTAGTATTCAAATTTATGCACCAATCACCAATGCCAATGATGAAAACATTGAAGAATTCTACCAACTTCTTGAGTTGTAATATTGAAGGATTCTAGGACAAAATATTGAACAATGTAGAAAGCATCAAAATAAAATGGAAGGAATACACAGGGTCACTGTACCAAAAAGTATTAGTGATGTTCAACCATTTCAGGAAGTAGCAGATGATCAAGAACCAATGGTATTGAACAATGCTGAATAATTGTTATCAGGACTGATTGTAAGGGCTGGAAATGTAAAGGCAGATGTTTTGTAGCAAAGGGAGGGAAGAGATTAATTTGGGACCATCAAGGGAGAAGAGCCCTATCCCACCCAGAGAAGCAGTGATGCCAGAGATAGAGGCAGAGACGACAATGTGGAGAGATGAAGCGGCTGGGGACTTTGGACCCGGAGAGGGAGAGGGGCTGTGTGCTGACAACCGAGGGGCAGGCTTGTAGGGTATACCCTGTGGTTGGTGGCTGTTGCATGGAGGGGATTGTAACCATGGCAAGAAACGACATATGATGGGATCAGTGTGAAGCTAATGTTCTCCCATGTAAGCTATCACATAATTCACAATAAAGCATTAAAAACAAAATGACACAACAACAAAAATAATGCTATTGAAGGAAGATATCCAAGCTGCTCTGAAGGCATTAACTGAAAACAATAAGGATCCAGGAATTGATGGAATATCAATGGAAATGTTTCAACAAACTGATGCAGTGCTGGAAGAACTCACTAGTGTATGCCCAAAAAAATTGGGAGACAGCTACCTGGCCAACCAGATGGGAGAGATCCATATCTGTGCCCATTCCAAAGAGAGGTGACCCCATAGAATGCAGAAATTATTGAACAATATCATTAATATTACATGCAAATAAAATTTTGCTGATGATAAGCCAAAAATGGTTGCACAGTACATAAACAGGGAGCTGTCAGAAATTTAAATTCAGATTCAGAAGAGGGTGTGGAAAATGGGATGGATGTTGGCTGAAAGCAGAGAATACCAGAAAGATGTTTACTTATGTTTTATTCACTGCGTGGATCATAATGAACTATGGATAGCATTGCAAAGAATGGAAATTCCAGAACAGTTAGTTGTCCTCATATGGGCCCTGTAAATAGAAAAGAGGCAGTTATTCAAACAGATCAAGGGGATACTGAGTGGTTTTAAATGAGGAAAAGTGGGGTTTTAATCTTCAATATACTTATTCAGTCTTTATGATGAACAAATAATCTGAGAAAACCATATGGCGAAGAATAATCTGAGAAGAACATGGCATCAAGATTGTAGGAAGACTCATGAATAATTTGTGCTATGCAGACTACACAACCTTGCTTGCTGAAAGTGAAAAGAATTTGAGGCACTTGCTGATAAAGATCAAAGAATACAGCTTTCAGTATGGATTACAAGTAAATAGAAAGAAAAACAATCCTGACAACTGGACCAATAAACAACATCATGATAAGCAGAGATAAAATGTAAGTTGTTAAGGACTTCATTTTACTTGGATCCACAATCAATGCTCATGGAAGCAGCAGTCAAGAAATCAAACGATATATTACGTTGGGCAAATCTGCTATAAAAGACTTCTTTTAAAGTGTTCAAGAGCAAAGATGGAGAACTAAGGTGTGTCTGACCCAAGCCAAGATAGGTATTTTCAGTCATCTCATATGCATGTGAAATCTGGACAATGAATAAGGAAGACCAATGAAGAACTGATGCTTTTAAATTGTAGTGTTGAAAGTACCATGGACTGCCAGCAGAAAGAACAAATTTGTCTTGGCAGTATAATCAGAATGCCCTTTGGAAGCAAGGCTAACAAGACTTCATCTCACGTAGTTTGGACATGTTGTAAGGACACCATGCTTGGTAAAGTAACAAGTCAGTGAAAAAGAGGAAGACTGTGAACCAGATGGATTGACACAAAGGCTGAAACAGAGAGCTCAAACACAGCAACAGTTTGAGGATGACATGGGCCCAGGAAGTGTTTCATTCTGTTACGCTTAGGGACGCTGGGAGTCAGAGTCAAGATGATGCCTAACAACACACACTGGATATCAACTTTGCAATATGTATCAAGACCTTTAAAGTACTCAGTTTAGTCATTTCAATTCTAAAAACCAATCTTAAAAAATGATTAGAGATGCAGTCAAAGATTTATGCACATAAGGCAGAGACTAATGTTATTTATAGTATCAAAATGTAAGCAGCCAGCCTACAAATCCAGTAAGACAGGAACATTAAAGAGAATTCTCATACAAGTACATTTATTTCATGACTCCTGGTGTGGTGCTGTTGGATCAGAACTACAAGGTCGGCAGTTCAAACCCACCAACTGCTCCTTGGAAACCCGATACTGGGTCACTATGGGTCAGAATTGACTTGATGGCACTTAACAACAACAACAACAACACATTTATTTTATGGAATCACGAAACAAATGTATGACATAAACAAATCCCATAACAATGATCTTTTAATTATAAGACATGAAAAGTCTATTTGAAAAAGTTTATAGCAAATACTGAAGGCAGAGGAACTGAGGGATAGCTAGCTTCTTCTATTTATGTTCCAGTATTTTTCCACATTTTCCTGATTGCAACAGATTAATTTTATGTTTAGAAAAGTTATTTTAGCTAAAAGGACTTTAATTAAAAGGACAGTGAAATAAGTATATGAAAAAAAAGGAATTAAAAAAATCCCTTAAACCCAGTGTCTTGTAATAGCCTGAGAATGGGCCCAGCAGAGGGTGCAGAAGGGAACACCATAGATCAGATGTGTAGCAGGAGGTGAAACTAAATGGATGAAATCATAGCTTTGACCCCAGGTGACCCCACTAAAGAGTGTCATCAGGAGCATGAGGAAGAAGGTCATTAGCACCTGTACCCTGTGGCTGGATAATGTGCTTGAACACATGGTGGCTCTGTTTCAGAAGTCGGCTTCCTGCTATAACCACCCACTGCCATGGAGTCAGCTCTGATTCAGAGACTCCAGCTCACCTTATCACTAGGGCGTTGTATTGTTACTGCCGTTGTTGAGTGCTATCAAATTGGTTCCACCTCATAGCAATGCTATAAAGAATTTCTGAGGAGCAGCTGGTAGGTTTAAACTGCTGACCTGTCAGTTAGCAGTCCAGTGCTTATCCTGCAACATCATTTTAATCATGCTTATAAAGTCCTGAATTTAAAAACTCTTTTGACAGGATTAGAGAGAGAGAGAAGTCTGGGAACCGTTTCTTGGCTTTCCGATGAGGTGAATGAGCTAATGGGGATATAGAAAGGGGAGCCGAGTAAAGACTTCCAAATGGGATTCAGGAGACAGCTACGATCTAGGTGAGCTCCCATTCCACCCACTCAGACCTGGGGAAGGGGAGGCTGGAAAGTCCCACTGGAGATCTGCCCTTCCCTTCAGCATCATGCAGACACACCCTCTGGACAAAAGTGGCCCCTGATGGTGACATCCTCCAGCCTGCCCCCTCCCATCGCTCAGATTTTGTGATTTGGTTGGTCTCTGACAATCTCCCCGACCCTATGCTTGGCTCCCACGTTTCCCTCAGCACCAGAAATTGACATTTAGAGAAGATGCTATCAATATCCACCCATACATCCTATTTCTGGGACCTCTACCTCCTACATCCGTAGCTATTTGCCTGAAGGCTTTGTCGGGCCTCTGGAAACTATTCTCTCCACATGTGCAACTGGTCAAACTGTGAGGAAACTAACAACCCATTGGCAACTGCCTTTAACCAGTGGTTGATGGACAAGTACCCATGCTGCTCAGATGTGATGACCCTGAGACATGCTCTCTCGTTGTTTTCCAGAGTTCCCAGCTCCAGTGGTCTACAGTGGACACCTATAACGTTGACTGGCTTCCTTCCTTTTCCTGTGCTGACTTCCTACACTCCTCCTGGGGTTTCCTGACATCACCTCCCCAATAAGCTATTTGCACTCACAATCTTTTCTTAGAGCTGACTTCTGTCAGAAACTAAAATAGGGTAGTATCCCACTCCAGGTCAAATGCAGTCTTAGCCGTTTCAACATCTCAGTTTATGGTGAGGATCAGTGACTAGGAAAACCCAACATAGAATACAGATGGGTCAGTGTCCCTGTCCTGCCCAATCTCTGGGACTCACCCCTGTGAAGACGTGCCACAGCCACAGAGGGGACACCAAAGATTCCATCTGCAAGTATGTCCAGGAACAGGTCTTTCTTTTTAACAGGGTCTTCAGTCCCACCTAAGTACTCCTGAGTGAGGACAGGGGTCAGTTCCTCAGGGACTTTCTGAAAGGATTAACAGTGAAAAGTGACCACCAACACGCACATACCACTGAACCGATATGGCTTCTTCCCTCGATGAGGGAAGTTTGCATTAATCACTTGAGTCCTCTGCCATTCTCCCTGAGGGTGGCAAGGTGGAAAGGGCAGGAAAATAAGACAGAATTCTTGGGTTCTGGTCTTTGTTCCAACATTTAACTGTTGTCCTTTCCCCTTTTTGGGTCTTAGCCAATTCCCATGATGCCCTGGGCTCTTACAACAAGGGGGTAGGACTTCCATAAGAGTGAAGTAGCCGTCTTCTGGTCCAGTTTCCCTTCAGAAAGTGGGTAGCCCATCATCTGTTAAAATAAATAATTAAGCACCTGTGAATCGCCAAAACTTAGCAGGAGAATAAACCAACAAAACCAACACAGACAGAAGACCCGCTTACTCGGATAAACTTTGATGGACAAGGGCTTTGATGAATTGGACAAAAATCAATGAGTCAAATCGGCATATGTTCAGGAATTCAAGAAGTGCAAAGAGGATCAAAAATGTTTTGCAGTACTTTGCAGTCCACTGTGACATTTATCAGCCTAGAATCCCTGCAGTGGCCAGTTGGTCAGAAGGGGAAGGCTGGAGCTGGGCTGAGTTTAAGTAGAGGTCTTTGGGGCAGACAACACAGAGTTGCCAAATGTTCCCATTTGCCTCAGATGGCTAAGGAAACCCAAAATCCTTTGGGATCATCTCTGAAATCCCTCTGAAGGAAAGGCCTTCAGAAGTTAATTTTAACTCTTGAGAAAGCATGTGTCTTTGATCTTTCCAATTGGGTTACCAAGAGTATGGGCAGAAAATGATGGAGAAAATCTGAAAGCCCCAAGCTCACTGTGAGAGACTCCGAGCCCCAGGCCTAGCTCTTGGTAAATCCCAAGCTCATTCCTCGTTCTAGGCTTTGGTTTTCCCATCTGCCTACATCATTATTATCTCTATAGACCCTCCCAGCATCAACATTTCAGAATTCTTTGATTGGAAGGACACAATGTTGAGAAGCTGGGTTCCCACAGACAGCTACCCATCTGGCCATCCCAGAGAAGGTTTCCCTGGAAATGTCAACTCATGCCAAAGGGGACTTCTGTCCTCTATTCAAAGAGGGGCTTGGAGACTGAAGAACTTCTCCACTAGAGACGGGAAGGGTCCTGGATAGGGGTGTCTAAGTGGCCTCCACATTCTCACTGTTGGAAGAAGCCAGCCAAACTCTTGTTTATTGATTCCAACGATGTAGGGGACGGTGTTGAACTTCCTTTCAGCCAACATCTCTTCAGGTGACTTTGGCAGCAGTACTCCATCAACCACAGTGGGCGTGAAGGGACAGCTCTGGGGAAAAGGAAACAGAGTAATGAGAGCCAGCAGAGCAGTAGTGAAAACCAAAACCAGGCCCACAGTCGCCAGGTCGATTCCCACTCATGGCCAACCCTGTACAGGCTTTCTGAGGCTGTAAATCTTTCAGGAGCAGAAAACCTTGTCTTTTTCTTGGGGAGTGGCTGGTGGGATTGAACTGCTAACCTTGCAGTTAGAAGTCCAGTGATCATCCTACAACACCACCAGAATTCGTTCCACAGCAGTGAGCACAGTGATAATTTTGGCTGTCTGGAGTGGAGCACCTGGCTGCCCTGTATGGGTTACTTGCACTATCTTGAGCCAGTAAATGACCAAAAACAGGGCTATCTCTCACTCCTCTCTTTTTCCCCACACCCACATCCAGTCTTTCAGCAAATCCTGTCAGCTTCTCCTTCAAAATGGTGTCCCGGTATAGTGCTGTAGGATGAGCTCTCACCTACCACTCCTAGGAAACCCTATACAGAGTCGCTATGATTTGGAACAGATTCTATGGCACTTAACAACAACAACCATAATATTCCTTCAAAAATATCCAGACTCTGACCCTTTCTCACCAAACCCTGCGGCTACTGCCCTGGACCTAGCCGCCATCTTCCTGTGCCTGGATTACGACAGTACAATGGCTTCTGTCTGGGCTCCCTGTGCCCACTCTTGTCCCTTCCCTATAGTTTATTTTCAACACAGCAGTCAGAGACCCTTTGTGACATCTAAGGTTATATCACTCATCTGTTCAAAACTCTCCAAAGGCTTCCCATTTATCAAAATCTCAGTCCTTTAAATGGCCACACCCCAACCTCCATGATCTCTGTAGCTTCAAACCTATTCTCCTCCAGCTAAACTGGACTCCTGCCTCAGGACCTTTGCAAAAGCTATTCCCTGAACATTTCCTGAACCAACCCAGAGTTGGTTTCCCACTTACTCCAGAATTTGGCTTAAATATCACTTTCTCATTGAGCCTTTTCTTGAAAATTCAAACCATTAACATACCCACTGGCAAACTCTAGCCTGATTTTCTGCTTTATTTTCCTCCTTAACACTGACTACCAAACACCACATTATTTTCTGTGTTGGTTGTAATTCCTCCAACTAGAACGTTGGGTTCGATGAGAGCAGAGAATTTTTTGTCTTTTTTGGTTTGTTTGTCTATTTTGCTGCTATACCCCCAGATTCTAAATCAGGTCTTGGCACATATTGCTTTTGATTTATTTATTTTTAACTTCTTTTTGTGAATTGAGTGAAGATTTGTAGAGCAGATCATCAGTTTGACATTCAACAAATCAAACACTTTGTTTTATATCAACTATTGCCATTCCCTCCATGTAATAATATCCTTTGTTTATTGTTTGCGTTCATCCTTCTTTCCCAACCCTTCTGAATTTTGTCCTGAGGTCATTGCTGCCCTTTTGACCTTGAATGGTTGTCACTTCTGTGGTGTGCATACCTCAGTAGTGTTGTTGTGCCCCCTATATATCTATTGACTGCTTTACTAAGAATTGAGCCATGAGGTTGAGTTCAGTTTCATACCTGAAGGGTAACCAAGGGCCAGAGTCTCGTGGCTCCTCCAGTCTCTATCTGACCCGTAAGCCTGGTCCTTTTATGATTTTGAGTTTTGATCCCCATTTTCTCCCACTCTATCCAGGACCTTCTAATGTGACCCTTTCAGAGCAGTTGGGAGTGGCAGCTGGGCACCATCAAGTTCTGGTCTCAGGGTTGTGGAGACTGAAGCCCATGTGACTCATTAGTCTATTGGACTCATTGTTCCCAGGTGTCTTCATTTTTCACCCCTTTTTCCTTCCGCTCAGGAAGAGACAAATAGCTGTACCTTAGATGACTACTCATGAGCTTTTAAGATCCCAATCGCTATTCACCGAAGTAAGACATAGAACATTAGCTTTGTGGACTATGTTTTGCCTGGTCCTGAGCCCCCAGGTCCAGCAACTTATTACTTCAAGGTGTTTGGTAATATCTAAGAAGTTTTCATAATTTTTCCCCTTCTATGTTCTACCACTTCCATGGATATGTTTGCAGCACCAAGTAAGTGCCCATGTTTAACACAACTACCCTGTGTTAAGACCTTTATATATTTGTGGGTATGCTGGTAGTGCCCCCTCCATACCCATTCAGCTGCATATCTCTCCATGCTTTATTGTTGTGAAGTGACGTTGAGTCGGTTCCAACTCAGTAACCCTGTGCAAAGTTTCTGAGGAGTGGCTGGTGGGTTTGAACCCCCAACATTGCAGTTGGCAGCCCATTGTTGACCCTACAGTGCCACACCAGTACCCAGCAGGGCCATTTTTGGAAGTAGGAGATGTAAACCAGAGCAAGTTCAACTGAGAGTACTGGGAGTGGGAGCCGAGGGCATGGGTTCGAGTCCTGCCTCCAGCCCTCCTGGCTGTGTCATCCTGACCAGCCTCTGCCACTCTCTGGGCCTTGGTAATGTAAATAAAGGGGTTACTGTTGTGATTCCACAAAAAAGGGAATTCTTTCAGATATGCAGAGTCTTGAAACCTCGAATTAAAAAACTGAAGGCCTTACCTCTCTGGGATCGCCAAGTAAATCAAGAGCAAAGAATTTCTGGAAAGGAAAAGGCAGAGGCTGTGAGTTAGAGAGTTCCTGGGGGAGATGCTGATCATTTGCAGATATCAGATGGCCCCTCTGGCCATCAGGAAGTGAGCAGGACCCTGGCTATCCCGGATGTGGGACAGGGGAGAGGGAGGCATGGACAAGACAAGGGCAGGTCTTGGGGACCCAGGCCAGGCTCACTGGACCTCTGGAGAGGGCAATTCTTGTTTGTATTGTCCTGCTTTCTCTGTACCATGAAAGACCATGTAAACATAAAAATAACAGAGAAAAATCCTTACTGTTGTTTTCCATTGTTATTGTGTGTCATTGAGTCAATTTTGACTCCAATGCTAAGCACAGGAAGCTGAGATATAAGGCAGACAGCTTTCCAATAATATTCTATGAGCACCTGGATCCAACTGTACCTGAAGCTACCTAATCCTGAACTTGTCCTCTGTGACCTAAAGATTTTGTTACAATATATTTCTTTCTTTCTTTTTTTTTTTCTCAAGACACTTTGAGAGGTGTTTTCTCATCTTGCATAGAAAATCCTGACTCCGACAAGTTCACAGAAATGCATGGAGTTCATGGTTCTTACTGGTGTGTGTGTATTCACCAAAATTGTACTGGTTGTTACATTACACTGCAACCAACAGGCCTGACCAGGAACTGACCAGTGAAGTTCCCTTCATTGTGAGTTGTAGCTCAGCAGCTAATACAAGTGTGGAGTGTGTGTGTGTGTATGTGTGTGTGTGTTGGGGATAGTGGATAATTATAAAAGGTACTTCCACATGATCTCAGAAAATCTCAGGAGCTTTTAGGACTCAGGTTCTCTGGGCTTTTCCAAATAAACAATTAGGTCTTCTTGTGCCTCATGGCTAAAGATATTTGTATCTTTCCAACCACCAGAAAACAGTTGCATGTTGACTCTTAGAACACTTTGGTTGCCTTATTTGGTCAGGAGACATCAGAATCCAAGCCCAAAGGCCATGCTGAGCACAATTCCTAGGGAGACAGGCAGAGTCCAGTGTTCTGTGCCTGCTCCCAGGGAAATCAGAAGGCCAGGGTCCAGAGGGAAAGTCAAAGGCTCAGGCTACTCCAGAGTTCACATTCACATCCTTCCCCAACAAAGGGACAGCTTGGCTCTAGATTTCTGTATCCTTTGAGGTGTCTGCTTTTCTGTGGTGACAGACACCAAAGTCATCCATCAATCCTCAAATGTCACCTTGTCTATGAAGCATCCTTGCAGGTTAAAATGAATGCTCCCCTCTCTGAACTGCCAGCACAAGCACACTTAGCTCAGTCAGCATATAGGTGTGTTTCTCCTTGGATGCTCCTTCTGAGCAGGAAACACGCCCATATTCATGTCTGCATCATTTCTCGGACACTACCCCATATGACTAATGTGGATAGGTGGATAGATGAAGTTAGTCAGTATACACAGACTATGGATTAATTGGATAAATAACTGGAGAGATGGATGGTAACTAAGACAGGGATGATGGATGAACCATTGTGTTTTGGAAGGATGGATGATGGAGCGAAGATATAGGGTGGCTGGATGATGCATATCTTGACAATAGATGGATGTAAGATTATGGATCGATTAGTGGGTTGATTGATATTAGAATGATGAAAGGATATTGCAGGATTTGATGTATTGGTAGTTGAGTAGATGAATAGTAGATGAATGGATAAACAGTTGGGTGGATGGATGACTATCCTAGAATCACAATTGAGGCTGGACCTTAGGAAACCTCGAAAATTGGGCTACCACTGAATTATAATTTAGGTTTGTGACTACCCTTTGTTCTCAATAGCTTCATTTCCCAGTTTCAGGATGGTGGCTACCACTGGGAAGGAAGGGGGAAAATGGAACCAGAATGGGGTACCCAGGGATTTTTAGTTAAATATGCAATGCTTAATTTCTTAAAATTATATCTGAAAGTTGTTGTTATTGTTAAGTGCCGTTGAGTCGGTTCTGACCCATAGCGACCCTGTACAGGGTTTCCGAGGCTATAAATCTTTACAGGAGCAGAAAGCCTCATCTTTCTCCCATGGACCGGCTGGTAGTTTCAAAATGCTGACCTTAAGGTTCACAGCCCAATTCGTAACCGCTATGCTACCTGAAGAATGGCAAAATAATAAGGTTTGATAGAAATGGGGAATCATTATGTAAGTTTTCATCATGTTATTATTACTTTATTTATCTGACATTTGAAATACTTCACAATAAAAAAGGAAAAAAGAAATTTCTTACTCAGATCCTAAGGCTGCCATTGTTACTAAGAGAAAAGAAAGTGCTCCGGATAGTTTGTCCAGGTAAAGGGACAGCTGAAATGATGAAGGCTGGAACCAAGTGGCCACACGAACGACGGTACCTACCATTTTCAGTGACGTCTCCAAGAGTTCCTCCTCCGTCTTCTGGCGTAGGCAGTGGACCATGACAGCAGAGGTGGTGGTTTTACACCCAGCAAAGATAGCAATTTGCTGCAAAAATCACAGGGTACAATAGATTCAAGAGCGATGCCCACCCCGCCTCTCACCACTATAGACAGACTGTTCTACCTGACCCTATTCTGAAGGCAGAAGAGGCTAGCAGAAAATAGTCCAGAGGCTAGCAGAGGTGAGTCCTGGGTCCTAGTCTTGTCTCTGTTGCTAATTCAAATTGTGCTTTAAAGCAATTGTTATTGTTGTTGTTAAGTGCCGTAGAGTCGGTTCTGACCTATAGCGACCCTGAACAGGGTTTCCGAGGCTGTAAATCTTTACAGGAGCAGAAAGCCTCATCTTTCTCCCATGGAGCAGCTGGTAGTTTCGAACTGCTGACCTTGCGGTTCACAGCCTGATTCGTAACCACTACACTACCAGAGTACACATCCTTCATTCTCCTGTTACTTTAACCAGACCAGTTGTGATCAAGTCTATTCCAATTCATGGTGCCCCATGTGTTTCAGAGCAGAACTGTGCTCCATAGGGTTTTGAAGGCTGGGTTTGTTCTTTCTGAGGCATCTCAGAGTGGACTTGAACCGCCAACCCTTCGGTTAGTAGCAGAGTACTTAAAGACTTTCTCCTCCCAGTGAACTCTTTAGTTACCTTATCTAATATCTTTGCTACAAAGGGTGTAATCAACTCAAACCTGACTATCTTAGCAGAGGCAGTGGGGTGGAGTAGTTGTTACAAGTATACAAGAGTCTGAATTCAAACCTCTGCTTCTGTACTTACTAGCCATTTGACCTGGGGCAAATCACTGAACTTCTGTGTTGTTGCTGTGTGCCACTGACTGATTCCATCTCACGACAGAGTAGAACTTCCCCAAAGGGTTGTCTAGGTTGTAATCTGGTAGCGTAGTGGTTACAAATTGGGCTGCTAACCTCAGGATCAGTAGTTCGAAACTACCAGCTGTTCCACGGGAGAAAGATGAGGCTTTCTGCTCCCATAAAGATTTATAGCCTCGGAAACCCGGCACAGGGTTGCTATGAGTTGGAACAAACTCCACGGCACATAACAACAACAACAACAATCCTTACAGTAACGTATCTTCAGGTCTTTCTCCCAAGGAGCAGCTGGTGGGTTCAGCCACTGCTTTCAGTTAACAGTCAAACATTTAACTGTATGTATGCCACCAAATTTCCCCAGCTTCTCCACCCACAGAAGAAAATAGTGATTGGACCACTATTCTCCAATCACTATACATAGTTATAGTTATAGTTAAGTTAACACATGAAAGGGCTTAAAAGGGCACTGGCACATAGAAACATGTATGTAGAATTGTGGGAGGTCTGGGTAAAATGACTCGCACAAAGGCACTTTAGAGAGGACAGAATATTACTTAAACAGGAGGCCTAAAGCAAAATAGCACGGCACCGACCCAACAGAGCAGCTGTTGCTTCCAAGTCAAATGAAGTGTTTGTGCCATGGCTAAGAGTTTCCATCTTCGAATTCACATCTGAGAAATCCAAATAACAATCTGACATGCCCTCTAGGGCAGAGGTCAACACAGTTTTTGTTAAAGGGCCAAGTAGTAAATATTTGAGACTTTGCAGGCCATATGGTCTGTGTTGCCTCCACTCAGCCCTGCTTCCGTTGTAAAAAGGAGTTGTAGACAATGTGTTAACAAATGGGTCTGTCCGTGTGCCAATAAAATCATATTTATTTATTTATGGACACTGACATTTGGATTTCATATCATTTCCACAGGTCGTATTAATACTGTTGGTGTTTTGATTTCTTTTAAGATGATTTAAAAGCGTAAAAATCATTCTTAGCTTATTGATTTAAAAATCAAAACAATTGGCTGGAGTCTAAGACAAGCCATGGAAGGGCCCACATTAATACTTGGCGAGCTGTTAACAAAAGCCCAGAATTTCTCTCCTTCTTAAAAACAAACAACCAACCAAAAAAAAGCAAAAAGAAACTGCTGCTCAAGTCTGTTGTGGAGTTGGGCTTGCCAACCTCCAGAACACTCTTGTCCCCTACAGTTCTGAGAATGCTTCTTTCTTCTCGGCCACAAGGTCCTATATTGATTCCTACCAGCCGCATTCATCTAAGATGCCCACCCCCATGACTATTTTGGATTGGATCAAGGGCAGACCCAATAGCAGAGCTGAAACAGAGCCCTCTTTCCTAAGTGATCAAGAAGAGGGCTAAGAGCTGCTGTCAAAGAAATGGGAAGCATTCTAAAACCAGAGGAGGAAGTCGGACTACTTTCTTGAAATCAAAGGGGAGTTCTGGAACTCAGCAGCAGGTGAAGTGGTCATGTGAGCTGGAAGCAAAATGTAACCAGAGGAGAGGCAGCAGACGGCCAGAAGGTGGCGCCATGGTGAGTGTGCACTGGCTCCCCAGAGCCTGGTACAGTGCCTGGTACATGGTAAGCCCTCTGTATGGATTTACTGCAGAAATTAAAAGGCACAAGGAGAAACAGAGAACACACACACAGAGTGAGACCCAGAAATGCCAAGGATTGCCCAAAACTACAAAAGCAGAAAGAGACAAGGATCTTTCTGGTAAGCTGATTGGGAGAGAGAGCATCTAGCCCTAAATTCAAACTCAGAGTCTCCAATACTGTGAGACAATAAATCCCTGTTCTGTGAAGTACTCCACTTGTGATATTTGTGTTAGGCACCACCACTGGCAAACCTTGGGGAGGTGTCTCATTGTCCTGCTCAGCCCTCTCATTTCATGAGAGCAGAACAAAGTGGTTCCTACCTCAGCTATGGACCTGCTTTCATTCTTGATGAGCACAGCAGTCAGAGCCACGCCACTCTCTGAAATGGCTCGGTGGAAGAGATTCTTGGCCAGAGGAGATAAAACCTGTGAGAGACGAAGAAAGAGGAGAGCTTGTGTTCAGGGGGAAGGGGCCAATGACACAGCTGCTCTGAGCCACCTTCATCCACAGCTCTGCCCTGGCCCGCTGCTCTGGAGGTAACTCAAGGAGTTTCAGGAGGAAGTGAGGAGACTCAATGGACATACTAGCTCCTCATCTACCATGGCCTGCCTCCCTGAAGAAGCTCAGCAGGCAGACCAGGAGCACAGAGTGAGGGCCAGAACGGGAAGTGTGTAGCACACCCTGACTAAACAACCAGAAGTGCTCTGCAGGAGAGCTTGACAATTCCCAGAAAAACTTTAAAGACACGTTTGTAAGTCAGCATTTCCATTACCCAGACTTGATCTTACGCTAAACACTAGTGGAGGCATACAACAGGGTATACGGATGTTTCTGCTGCAATGTTTATAATGGTGAAACACGGGAAAGAACTCCAGTGTCCAATATTATGATACTACTTAAATAAACTCATTTGCATTATCACCATGAAAGACCATGTCCACTTAAAAACAATATGTTGTGATGTGCCATGGAGTCAGTTCCTACTCATAGCGACCCTATACAGGGTTTCCAAGGCTGTAAATCTTTACTGGAGCAGAAAGCCTCATCTTTCTCCCACGGAACAGCTGGTAGTTTCGAACTGCTGACCCTGAGGTTAGTAGCATGATTCGTAACCACTACGCTACCAGAGCTCCTTTAAAAACAATATAGAATCCTTAATGCTGCTTCTTGTTGTTGCTACGTGCCATTGAGTCACTTCCGTCCCATACGACCCCATAGGACATAACAGCTCTGCCCCATAAGGTTCCCAGGCTGTCACTTTTATGACAGCACACTGCCACATCTTTCTCCTACAGAGCAGTTAGTGGGCTGGAACTGCTGGAGTGCTTAGCCACTGTGTCACCAGGCCTCCTTAAAATAGCATTATGGTAGAATGTTTCATGCTAAGGGAACTATTTATGGTATAACCGTAAGGAAGTCTTTTTGGTAGACACCAGCACCCGCTGCCATCATAATGATCCCATGTGTGTCAGAGGAGAACTGTCTTTCACAGGGTTTTCAGTGATTGGTTTTTCAGAAGTAGTTTGCCAGCCCTTTCTTCGAAGGACCTCTGATAGATTTGCTTGAACTGACCAGTCAGCCTTCCAGTTAGCAATCAAACATGTTACCTGTTTGTGATCCCTCAGGACTGTAGATAGATAGATGGATAGAGACAGAATGAATGAATGAATCAAAGGAAATCTTAGAATAACACAGGTCCAAATACTAATGATGAATATCCCTGGGTCGTGCAATTCTGGATGATTTTTTTTTTTCTCTGAGATTTTGCATACTTTTCTTTTCCTTCACTCTATAGACTGTAAGGAGCTCTGGTAGCGTAGTGGTTACGAATCGGGCTGCGAACCTCAAGGTCAGCAGTTCGAAACTACCAGCTGCTCCACGGGAGAAAGATGAGACGTTCTGCTCCCGTAAAGATTAACAGCCTCGGAAACCCTGTGCAGGGTCACTATGAGTCGGAACCGACTCCATGGCACACAACAACAACAACAATAGACTGTAAAATGTCCTTCTGAGTATTCAGCTATGAAGACCCCCTGGAAAACTTCTTATACCTCCCAGCCTCTTCTAATCTGGATTCCACCTCAGCTTCCCTCAGTGTCTGACCAGCCCCAGACCCACACCAGCGACACAATTGTGTCCCCAGATTTTGTCCATGGCCCATATCCCTTGCCACATTCCTCCCAGTCCCTCTTCACCCTTGTCCCTCTTGTCCACCACCCCCAGACCACCTCCCCTAGAGCACTTTTATTCCTGGGTCCCGGAGACTGCTGTGCTCCCTCTTTGGCATGGAGAAGCCATCAGACCACCTCAGAGGAGGCTCTGCCCTTTCTTGGAGCTCTGCCTCTCCTGGGTGTCCATGTTCTCTTGTCCTCTCACCTTGTATTCATAATTTGGACCCACCCCACTTCCCATAAGAAGTGAGATAAGTCCTCATCTGACAGTGGTTTGGGAAGAGTGGGAATTCAACTAGGTTGGTGGTGCTAGTGGTGTTTTGTATCACCAAGTCAGTTCCAACTCATAGCCACCCTGTAGAAGGTTCCCAAGGCTATAAATCTTTATGGGAGCAAAAAGCCTCATCTTTCTCCTGTGGAGCAACTGGAGGAGGATTTGAACTAATGACTTGGTGGTTAGCAGCCCAGCACATAACACACTGTACTAACCAGGTTAGAAGAAGAGAATGTCATGGTCGCAGGCTGTGTTTGGAGATTCATTCATCTGGCCCCAGGGCCCCCAGAGCTATGGGAGTCCACGAGAGTTTAACCATTAGCTCTTTGCCCTCTAATACTGTGCAGTGAACGGATCCGCCCCCAATAGATGCCTTGTAAGGAAAGTTTCCCGTGGCTGTACTGGCTGGTTTCCAAGTGGCTCTTAAGACGTCAGGGTCACTTACAAGAACAGAGACACTTTCACCTCCTGCAGACTCTCCAAAGATGGTTACCAAGCCTGGGTTCCCCCCAAAGTTGGCAATGTTCTCCTGAACCCAGTGTAGTGCAGCCACCTGGTCCAGGTGACCCCAGTTCCCCCGGCTGTGCTCATCTCCCGTGCTGTGAGTGAGAGAAGAGGGTGGGGTGGGGACAGAGACATCACAACAAGGCTCTCAGAACAAGATGGCGGAGGGTGAGGGGAGGCTCCAGGTGGGCCTTTCAGAATGAGACTGGGCTTCCTCTTCCTTGACACTTAGGGCCCCTCCTACAGTGTTGTTCTGGTTAGGATGTTGCATTAATTCATTTGGCAAATATTTATGTGTGAGCCCTTAAGTGCTATGCTGCTTGTTAACTGTCACGAGAGACAAATGTGCAAAGTGCTGAGATTCAGGCTGGGCCTTGTAGGATGAAAAGGAGTTTGTAGGTAGAGTAGGCATTCTAGACAGAGAACAGCCATGCAAAACTTCAGAAATCAGTGGACCAGTGTGGCCAGGGAAGGAAGGGGGCTGACCTGCTCAGACCTAGGTCCTGGCACCCTTAAACTGAGAGTCCAGTGTCTTACCTGAAGAATCCCCAGATCCCCAGGCGGTACTGAATCGTCACCACCACCACATCTTCATGGGCAGACAGGGCCAGCCCATCGTAGGTGGATGCCCCGCCCACCACTAGGCCACCTCCATGGATCCACACCATCACCTGGACAAGGAGAAGCAACCATATTGGCTACAGGAAGCAGCGTTGGAAGTGACCTTGAGAAATTGTGTGGCTTGGCCACAACTCAAGGAGGCTGTTGTCCGAAGTCCACAGCCCGTGGCCAGGTTAGAGCCCTCAGTTGTTCTTCTCTCCCAGCTGGGCCCAGGCCACCAACCACCCTTAGTGCACTCTGGATGCTCCCATTTTCCTCCCAGACTCATCATGCTGCCATTGGAATAACACAGGCTGAGAGTCATGCTCTGTGGGCAGTCCTGGTCCTCATGTGAACGCAGCTCATGGAGGCCTGGGTGTGTCCACTGCACCTTATTAAACTCTGTCATGGTGAGCGGAATGTACCCTCGAAGCAAATGATTATCTCAAGATGCCTGCTTATCCCTTATGGAATCTTTTCCTAGTATGCCTCCTCTCTGCCTCGTCCAAAGCCCAGCCTAAAATTCACCTCCTCTAAGAAGTCTTGAACCATCTAATGTTAGCTGAGGTCCTCCCATGAGAGCAGACACAACTATTCACAGCATTTGGTTCTTGAATAGTAAGTGGGAGCGACTAAAACAATGATATTGTCAATAAAAAGAAGAGACATTCTTAACAGTGCTGTGTGCCAGGTACTAGTCCAAGCACTTTAGGCCATTTAATGCTTAATAAACTACCTACGAGGTGGTGCTTCTTGTTAAGTGCGGAAACGTCAGTTCCAACTCATAGTGAACATGTATAGGGTTTTTGAGGAGCAGCTGGTGGGTTTGAACTGCTGACCTTGTGGCTAGCAGTCCAGTGCTGATCATCCAGCACCAGCCAGGACTCCTATCCATAGGTAGCTATTAATATTATTCCACTTACAGGACAATTGAGGCACTTAACTGGTTTGAGGTCACACAGCTAATAAATGGTAGAAGCAGGACTTGAACCCAGGCAGTCTGGCCTCAGCTCTGTCTCAACAGCACTTAACTAGTCTTTCCTTGCCTCCAGGTCCCCAGAGGCTCTGCTTCTTCATACCTTCAGGGTCACTGTCCACCTCTGGAGATAAGGACTAATTTACAACCATCCTAGAGTGCAGGCTGAGCCCCAGAACTGGTCTGCAATAATTTGGTGAAGAAGTACAAGGGGGCTGGCTGTAAAAAGTTCGTGCAAAAATTCCATTGTCTTTTAATGCCATTTTTCTATGAACTGTTTGAAGCTCCCTGGTATAGGTCCTTGGAACCCTGATGGTAAGATTATGAAAGCAAGGCTGTGTGTTAATGGCTTTATGTTTCCCCTTTCTCCTAACCCTAACTGTATTTATGGAAGGCCAACCAACCAGCTTCTATATTGTCAACTCCAACGTATAGCAACTCCATGCGTTTAGTAGCAGAAGTGTGCTTCAGAGGACTTTAATGTTTTAATGACTGTTTGTTTTGCAATAGATCACCGGGCCTTTCTTTTCCAGCATCTCTGGGTAGATTTGAATCTCTGAACATGTGGTTAGCAGCCAAGCATGTGAATGCTTGTGTCACCCAGTATACCATTTGGAGGGCACTCAGTATATAATAGATGAATGAATAAATGAATGAATGAACCTTTGTCCCCACCTCCTTATACATGACCCATGTATTGCCACCTTCTAGGCACAAGTTCACAGACACCTTCCCCACACCTGAGCACCATGCTGGGGTTCTCCTGGCGACTGGCTGGGTGTTAAGACCCCTCCCTCCTCCACCCCAGGGATCACCTCCTTTCCCCATGTAGACATTGTGAGGCTGGGCCTCCACTCCAGCCTGCACCTGGCAACCTGCTCCATCTCTAAGCTTCTGTTTATTCTAGAAGTGCTGAGTCACTGGGCCATCAGCGGGTGCCAAAGAGAATTAGCACAGGAAATTAGCTACAATAAAACCCCAGAAAGTAGGCCAAGGGCAAAGGAAAGTGTTTCTTGCATGCCCCAGCCTCTACAACACACTCCCCCATCTCTGTCATGGGACAGGAGACTTGTCACAGATAGATATGTTGATGGGCTGAGGAAAGGCCTCACATGCTCTCCTAGTGCAGGTCAAAGAGCGTGGATTTGACCTTTCCTTCCCTGGGCCTCATTTTTCCTCTCTGTAAAGGAAGGCTGGGCTGTTCATCAAGCTCTAAGATTTTTTTCAGCTCTAATTTTATTTGACGGAGCTCTGGTAGCATAGTGGTTATAAGTTGGGCTGCAAACCTCAGGGACAGCAGTTCAAAACTACCAGCTGTTCCACAGGAGAAAGATGAGGCTTTCTGCTCCTGTAAAGATTTATAGCCTTGGGAACCCTATGCAGTGTCTCTATGAGTCAGAACCGACTCCATAGCACACAACAACAACAACAACAACAACAACAACAGTTTTACTTGAAATGATGCCTTGTCTGCACTGGGTGTCCGATTGCTTATCTGCAGTTGGGAGTAAACATTCTTGTTTTCCTATCAGCACAAGAGAACTTGGAATCCTGATAATATGTATGACAGTTGTATGAGAAACTCCCCCAAATGCCATGTGTCACTGGGAGAGAACTGAAATATTGGAAAACTTGTCGGGTTTCCCATGGTCATGCTGTCTGACCCTGGTTAAGTAAAGAAAGTTCATTTGCTATGAACTCAATTCCCAACTCATGGTGATCCAACGTGTGTCAGAGCACGGTTTTCAGTGGCTGACGTTTTTAAAGTAGATTACCAGACCTTTCTTCTGACGTGTCCTTAAAGGGACTTGAACCTCCAACCTTTAGTTTAGCAGCCAAGTGTGTTAGTCATTTGCCCAAAGGAGTCCTGAGACCCCTGAGGTTCACAGTCCAGTGACTTGAGCCCTGGTACCCCACCACAAGCTGCCTTCATCCCCTCCTTGTCTGTGCCCCAAGACTTACGGGCAGCCGGCTTTTCTTTGTCAAGTCAGTGGGAGTGTAGATATTTAGGTAAAGGCAGTCTTCAGCAAACCTGAGGGGGATGCTCTCCTTTCTGTTGGTGAACAGTTCTGATAACACCTGTGCAGCCACTGCATCTTGAGAGCACCTGGAGTGGGGGGGAAGAAAGCACTGAGGGGCTTCAACCAGGTCTGAGGGCTGCTGGGGTGGGAGGAGGACGGTGCAAAGGGACTGAAGCAGGGAGACTGGGACTTAGTGCTGTGTCCCACTCAAAATGCCATTTCTTAGAACTTCTCTGAAGGAAATATTGATGGTGCAGCATAAATATTTAGCTATAGAATGCTCATTACAGTGTTATTTATACAATCAAAAAACATCAAAAGACTAAAAAAAAAAAAAAAATTAGTAGCACCAAATAGGAGATTGGAGAAATAAATTGGTAGTTCCAGCGTCTAATGCAGTGCAGTTGTTAATGGCAGCCTAGGACATTTATCACGACTTAGGACAACATCCGGAGTCCTGGTGTGGCGCTGTGGGTTAATGCGCTAGATTGCAAAGCCGTTTGAACTGCAAGGTTAATGGTTCAAGTTCACCAGCTGCTCCTTGGAAACCTGATACAGGGTCGCTATGGGTTGGCATCGATTCGACGGCACTTAACAACAACAATAACAGGACAATGTCCAGGATCCACTTAACAGTGAGCAAAACAGGAGGCCAAACTATCTGTAGAATGCGACTCCGCCTCCAAGGGAGAAAGTAGTTATGCAACACAAAACGCAAAAATAACCCCCCAAAAAAACCAAAAATAAACTGAAAAACATATTCTAAAATATTCATCGCAGTTCCCTCTGGGTGGTAGAATTGCATATAATTTTAATTTTCTTATCTCTCCTTCTCTTGTGTGTGTGTGCTTTTAAAAACTTTTCTATAATGAATAAGTGTGGTACTGCATTTGTAATCAGGAAATAAAAACTGAGTTATATGTATATATACATTTTTTTAGAGGAAAGGAAAACAAATGAAGAAGGCAGCAAAAGGCTGGGTCCCCAGAAGCATCTGAAGTGGTTGGTATACCTGCCCCAGGTCCCTAGAGCAGCTGGAGGTCAGCCAGGAAACCTTTGTCTTTGTGGCCAACTTGGCTCAGGTGACTGGGAAAAGTGGATCGTTGTTGGGGGCACCTGGGAGTTGATAGCTGGCCAAACCCGGTCGGGGCTCAAGGCTGGAAAAGAACTGAGTCATTGCTTTCAATTCCCCTCACCCTGTCAAACCATTTATCATATTCTCTCACTTTACAGGAGTCCTGGTGGGTTAATGCGCTGGATTGCAAGGTCAGTTTGAACTGCAAAGTCAGTGGTTCCAGCTCACCAGCCGCTCCTCAGAAACCCTATACAGGGTCGCTATGAGTCAGAACCGACTCGACAGCACTTAACAACAAACAACAACAATCACATTACAAATGAGCACTGGTGGCACAAGCAATTGGCCCATAACCTAGGGGTCAGCTGTTCAGATCCACCCAGTGGCTCTGTGGAAAAAAGGCCTGACGAGCTGCTTCTGTAAAAAGTCCAGCCAAGGAAATTCTCTGGACAAGCTCCATGGAAATGAGTCTAGCTTTAGTTTCTAGACATATTACATAATTTATTAATTAACAACCATATCGTTTATATTGTTGTTGTTTTTTAAACCTGCCTTCCCCTGTTCATAGAATACAAGCTCTATGAACATTGAAACTCATTTTGTTCACTTTATGAATCCCAGAAAAAACTAGGAGCCTTGACACTTTTTTGCATCACTTGGAGACATACATTTCTACCCAAAGATGTCAAAGCTACACCCCCAGCGACTTACATAGGAGGGTACGAGGTGGTATTCTTCACGAAGTCCCAGGGTTCAGCAGGCTGCGGTGGAGTGAACCTCAGGGGTCCAAGAGGGGGCTTGGCAAAAGGGATTCCCAAGAAAACAGCCACAGGCTGAGTAAACCCCTCCAGGCTGACATACTTTCCCCGGACTCTGCCATACACAGTGTCCACCACAGGTGCTGGGTGTCCTGCTGGACAGTGGGAGGAAATAAAGATGTATCAGAAGTGAAAGGTTTGAATAAAGCAACTTACAAACTGATAGAAACGCTTTATGGTGCTTTGATCTGGCATGTCCAGTCTGTTGCTGTCTGGTGGCGGTCCTGAAAACTGGCCTACATTCCCAGTGTGGGACCCTGGCTTCCATTTCCAGAGGAACAAAGCAGATCTTGTTCAGCCATTTCTACATTGGACTCCTGATCTGCCTGGGGGCCGCGCCTGAGTATGATGTTAGCTGTGGGTTGTTCATGTTGTTATTAGGTGCTGTCAAGTCCGCTAGAATTCACAGTGACTCTGTGCACAACAGAATGCAATATTACCTGGTCCTACCCCATTTTCACAATTGTGCTTATGTTTGAGCACATTGCTCCAGCCACTGTGTCCATCCATCTCCTTTCTGGGGGTCTTTTCCCCTGACCCTCTACTTTTTGAAACACAATGTTCTTCTCCAGGGACTGGTCCCTCCTGACAACGTCCAAAGTACGTGAGACCAAGTCTCATCATCCTTACTTCTAAGGAACATTCTGGCTGTACTTCTTCCAAGATACATTGTTTGTTCTTCTGATAATCCATGGTTCTTTCAATATTTGCTGTCAACACTATAATTCAAATGCATCATTTCTTCTCTGGTCTTTTTCACTCAGTGTCCAACTTTCACATGTGTATGAGGCAATTGAAAATACCATGGCTTGGGTCAGGCACACCTTTGTCCTCAGAGTGACTTCTTTGATCGTTAACTCTTCAAAGAGGTCTTTTGCAACAGATTTGCCCAGTGCAATACATTGATTGTGAGTCGCTATGAATTGGAACTGACTCCACGGCACATAACCATTACCACCACCCCTTCATCATGTTCTTAATTTACTCAGAAGTCTATAGAGACTGAATGCAGATGGGTGGTTTCCAGGAAGTGAGGGAAGAAGACACTAGGGGGCGGGGGACTGCTTAGTGGGTAAGGACTTTTTGTTTGGAGTGATGGGAATTTTAGGAACTAGATCAAGGTGGTAGTTGCACAACATTGTGAATATGCTAAATGCCATTGAAGTGTTCACTTTAAAATGATTCATTAAAAAAAAAAAAACACTTTTCATTGTGAATTGAGTGACGGTTTACAGACAAGATCATCAGCTTTACATTCAACAAACCATGTATCTACTTTGTTTCATCTCAACGATTACAATCTTCTCTGTGTAACATAAGTTACCCCATTTCCGCCCTGTGGCTTCTATTTACATTCCACCCACCTTCCCATCTCTCCTCAACTTTGTCTTTAGGAATATGTTGCCCTTTTGATTTTGAGTGATTGATCATTCCATGGTGAGCATGCCTAATTATTAGTTTTGCTGTTCCCCTTGACTATAAATCTATCTACTGCTTGGCTGAAAGTTGGGCCAGGAGGGTGAGTTCTTTTCCAGACATGAAAGGTGGTTGAAGGCCATAGTCTCGGGTCCCTGAAGTCTCTTTCTGGCCGGTAAACCTGATCTACTTCTATTATCATTATTAAATAATTTTGAGTTTTGTCCCACAGTTTCTCCCACTCTATCTGGGACCCTCTAATGTGATCCCTTTCAGAGCAGTTGACAGTGGTAGCGGGGCACCATCTAGTTCTTCTGGTCTCAGAGTCATGGAGACTGATGTTCATGTGTTCCATTAGTTCACTGGACTGATTGATTCCAAACCTCATCAATTCTTCTCACTCTTCTGTCTTCCGCACATGGAGAGACCAATAATTGCTGCACCTTAGATTGCCACTCAGAGGCTGCTCAACCAAGTAAAGTGTAGAACATTGTCTTTGTGGACTATGTCATACTAATTGACCATGGTGTCCCCTGAGACTATGGTCCTAAGTCCCCAGACCCAGTCACTGATTTCCTTAAGATGCTTGATAATATCTAGAAGTTTTAATCCTTTTGCCGGCTGTATGCACCACCACACTCAATTGTGTTTGCAGGAGAGGTAAAATACTCATGTGCAAATAACCTGTTTCAAACTCATATATTTGTGGGATATATAGGTATATCTGCAGTGTGGCACTGTGGGTTAATACACCAGACTGAAAAATCACTTTGAACCATAAGGTCGGTGGTTCAAGCTCACCAGTTGCTCCTCAGAAACACGATACAGGGTCATTATGGGTTGGGTGGAATTGACATGAGTATATATAGATACCATTCTTCCTTACCCAGTCGGCCCATGTCTCAATCCAAGTATCTACACACAGAACACTGTTGCTCCAAGGTTGTGTATATATCACCATTTACCTCTACCCCCTTTAGCCCATGTACACCTCCCTGTGTCTTCACCTGTCTTCATCATTCTTTTGCCACCCTCCCTCTTTTTGTATATTGTCCTCCGTGTTCACCTGAGCTAACATGTGCCTACCCACTAGCCAGTGAATTACTCTCTTCTTCCTCCCACCTCTGGTAACCATCAGAATAGATTTCTTTTAGTATGAAAACCTTTTCTTAAGTTTTTACAATAATGGACTCATACAATGTTTGTCCTTTTGTGATTGACTAATTTCACTCAATATAATGTCCTCCAGGTTCATCCATGTTGTGAGGTGTTTCGCAGATTCGTAGTTATTCTTCAACGTTGCATAGTATTCCATTGTGTATATGGACCAAAGTTCGTTTACCCATTCTTCCAAACAATTGTTAATTTCATGCTGTGTGTACTTCACTCCAATAAATTAGTTTAAAATACATGTAAATAACTGCAGAGAGGCAGACTGTGACATTTTGTTTTCCTCCATTAGGATCCTGATGCTGAGCAGCATGCTGAACGAGAGGAGGAGCAAGAGGTGGTCTCCATTCTCAGAAGTCGTGACCCTTGCAGGATACCTGCAGGGGAGTCACAAGCAAACCTGACGGTGACTCTGGGAAGTGTCCAGTGAGAGGTGGAAGGAAGTGCTGTCTCTCCTTGTGAGGAGGTGGCTCTGCAGCAGAGACTAGCAGGAGGGAGAATATGGACACAAGAAGATAAAAGATGGGCTATAATGCTTTAAAGGAGAGAGAAGAATGTGCTGAGGCTCTGAGACAGCAAACTACAAGAACTGCCGGGAAGGGCGAGTGGCTGGGTTGGGCCAAGCGGAGCCTTTGAGGGATCAAGCACCCTGGAGAGGTGTGTCTCAGGGAGGGCCTCTGATGCTAGCCTCCCCAGTGGAGTAATGAACAGAGGAACCATTCTGGAATAAGGGAGGGGGCCTTCTAGCAGCTCTGAGCAGTTTCACCCAGAGGGGAGGGAGCCTGGGGATCAGATTCCAGCCCACTCCTTTTCCATTATTGTAAAGCACACAATTCTTCTCTCTTGAGTTGAAATTCATCTCCCTGCAGCTTTCGCCCATCAGCTCTGGCCCCACCTGCTCTGGGACTGGGACTGAGTGACTTTACCAACCTTTCATGTGACTGGCGGCATTCAGCCCCAGTGGTCTCCCTGTGTTTAAATGTCCATTCTAATCTCCTGCCCTCCCAATCGCTTCCCTATGTGTACAGGCAAGGTGTCCACAGCTCCTCAAAGTGTGGGCCCAGAGCTGAGAAGAATAATACAGCTCAGGACTAATCAAAGAATACCTAGTGATAAGGGACATTTTCCAAACAAAACAGGTCACAACACAGCATCATGTCTGAAGCAATTAATAGTCAATCCCATACTGGGGATTGACTTGGTTGTTTTCTTTTGTAGCTGCTGCTAAATGATTACAAATAAGTATTGCTACTAGGAGTCTAATTCATTCTAAACAAAACATGTTTAAGCATGTCTGTATGGTTAGTGGATAGCTGCAGATAAGTTCTCTCAGTAATACATTTGTCTTAGTCTTGTTAGGTGCCTTCCAGAACGAAAAGAAACAGTCAGGAGAATGGCTTCCCAGGGAATCTGCTGGGCCAATCAAATTCAAGGCAGAAAGATCAGCTCAGAAGGTTATGGGTTATGGCAACTGTTTTGGGAGATTCCAAAGGAGAGTTCTTGAGAGAAGTTTTTCAAAGGACATAGGTTGATTTTAGGGCCTTATTACACAGAAGTTTTCAGAAAATTGAAAACTGCATTGGTGAGAAAAAGACCAGGAAAGTTGAACTGAGGAATTTTGTCCATCATGACCACAAATGAGGGCTATCCTAGGAGAATTTTGCTGGGAAACTTTACCCCATCCACCCTACAGCCCTGATCTTGCTCTTCTGACTTCTTTTGGTTCACCAAACTCAAAGAACATTTAAAAGGAACATGATTTGAGTACTTCGAGGATGTCAAAATTTGCTGTGTGGATGTGTAAAATGAAGATTCTGTGATGAAAGACGAGAGAGAAGAGTACAGAAGTAGATGGAGGGTATGCTGAGGACCAATAGCTTCCCGTTTTGACACCTTTGTTTAAGAACGGTTTCTAAGATTTTATAGCAATACTTTTTGAGTTACTCTTGTTTTAATTGGAAACTTAGCAGCAATACGTTTTGTAAGTTCTACAACTCCAATTCACTTTTAGTAAGCCTCAGAACAGCCCTGATAGATACGTGTTAATATGCCCATTTTACAGATGAGGCAAATGAGAAAACATCAACAGCATGTGGACTTTGTAAAGATGGAGAGAGGGTGCAGGAACCAGCTTATATAAAGAAATGTTCCAGTGTGGTTCCTTTCTTACTAAGCCTCACACTCAGCCCCATTCTCTAACTGTGTCACGCTCACAACAGTCATGAACTCTCTCTCTCTCTCTCTCTCTCTCTCTCTTTTTTTAACTTTCTGTTGTGAATTGGGTGCAGGTTTACAGAGCAGACCAGTTTCCCATTCAACAATTCGTATGGATTTCATTTCATCTCATTGACTGCAACCCCCCCCCCCCCACCATGAATCACACTTATCCTGCTTCCTCTCCATGTTTACTGTTGCCATTCCTTCTTCCTTCCTAACTCTTCTGAACTTTGTTCTTGAGTAAATGCTGCCCTTTTTAATCTCAAATGGTTGAATCTTTTAAGGTGTGCCTATCTCCCTAGTGTTTTGTTCCCCTATTGCTTGGCTGAAAATTGGGATGAGTTCATTTCCAGACTGGAAAGGAGACACAGGGATCTTTTATGATTTTGAGCTTTGTTTTACATTTTCTTCCCACTCTATCTAGGACTTTCTGTTGTGATCCCTTTCCGAGTGGTCTCTGAGCCATGGAGACGGATGTTCAAGTTGCCCATTGGTCCATTAGACTAATTATCTCCATGCATCTTTAGTTCCCATCCCTCTTCTTTCCTCCAGACACGGAGAGACCAACAGTTGTGCCTTAGATGGCTGCTTAAGAGTTTTTAAAGACCCCCAGTTGCTGCTCACTAGAGTTAGATGCAGACCTTTGTCTTTGTGGACTATGTTATGTCCTTTGACCTAGATCTCCCCTGATGGTGGTTGGTGGTGGTTATGTGCCGTGAAGTCGGTTCAAATCTTTATGGAGCATATCAAGATATCGAGATATACCCCAGGCCCAGCTACTCATTCCCTCAAAGTACTCTCTTTTGTGCTCCAGAAAGAAGAGAAAATCCAGCTGGGGCCAAGGCTGTCAGCTCCAGTGACCGGAGCCTTTGGGCTGAATTCAGCAGCCAGTCAGAAGTGTCACCCTGGGAATGCAGGGGTGTGGATCACTCTGGGACCACACTGACCACTCCTCCATCAAAGGAGGAGTCACCAAATGTTGCAGCAGAAATTGTTATTTATAAAATACCAACACAATTATAACAACAAAAAACATTTTTTGTAAACCCAACTTAAATGTATCAATATACCTACAAGGGTATAACTCCATGCAAATTTAGGGTTGGACCTTTCTAATGTTCTCTGGCTAGAGCTGTTATTATTACCAATGACAACGACACTTTGAATCCCCTGCTTTTTATCTGCACAAACCACAAACCTGCGCCGTTGTTTTCCCTGTTGCTGATATTTTATAGTCCTTGGTTTTGTCCAGTTTTCTGGTGTTTCAGGTATAATATCATTGTAGTTAGTGTTTGTAAGTCTAAATCAATGATTTTTTGAGAAAGAAGTTGTGATAAAAGCAAAAGGAGAAGAAATTTAAAACACTTCCATTCAATTACTAATAACGTAGCTCAATGTAGATTTTACAAAACAATTGTGTTCTTACTCGTATTCATATAATCAAAGAAATATTCCATTTAAGCAATCTACAACTGTATTTATCACATATTATTGTACGATTAAAGTTTAAAGACATAGAACTCAGGACTCTGGCTGGTCTGGTACTGGAGGAGGTCTGTGGGGGAAGGCAGGTGACATCATGAGTGGCCACACTGGATAACAACAACCACAGTGACGCCTCTGGAATCAGTGACAGATTCCAGGGCCCAACTGTCCATGACCTTGGGCAAGTACTTTTTCCTGTCTGAGCCTTAGTTTCTCCATCTCTAAAATGGCACATAAGCATTCTGAGGTTCCTGGCTTTCCCTCGTAATGTCTCACCCCTTTTTTTCAATGCTGCTTCTATGTCAGGCACTATCTTAAGTGCTTTGGAAACAATAGCCTATTTCATTTTCACAACAGTGCAGTGAGGTAGTTCCTGTTACAATCTCCCTTTTAGAGATGAAGAAACTGAGGCACAGAAAAGTTTAGAACACACAGCTAATAAGTGCTAAACTGGGATTTGGACCCAAGCAGTCTGGCTTCAGAGGCTGCTCTATTAATATTCTGTTAAGCCATTCCTTAGTACACACTGATGAAGATCAAAGTCTTCAGTATGGATTACATTTCACTATAAAGAAAGCAACAATCCTCACAACTGGATCAATAAACAACATCATGATGAATGGAGAAATTATTGAAACTGTCAAGGACTTAATTTTACTTGGATCCATTATCAATGTCCATGGAAGTAACAGTGAAGAAATCAAACAACATAGTACATTGGGTAAATCTCTGCAAAAGACCTCTTTAAAGAGTTAAAGAGCAAAGATGTCACTAACCCAAGTCATGGTAGTTTCCATTGTCTCACATGCATGTGAAAGCAAGAGAATGAATAAGACCAGCGAATTGGTGCATTTGAATATGGTGTTGGTGAAGAAAATTGAATATACCCTGGACTTCCAGCAGAAGGAACAAACCCTATTTTGGAAGAAGTACAGCCAGAGTGCTCCTTAAAGGCAAGGAGGGCAAGGCTTCATCTCATATACTTTGGACATGCTGTCAGGAGGGACGCGTCCCTGGAGAAGGAACACCATGCTTGGTAAAGTAGAGTCAGTGAAAAAGAGGAAGACTCTCAATGAGACGGACTGACACAGTGGCTGCAACAATGGATCAAACATGGGAAAGATTGTGACGGTGGTCTCAGACCAGGCAGGGCTTTGTTCTGTTGGGCAAAGAGTCATTCTGAGTGGGAGTCCATTCAATGACACCTAACAACAACAGCAAGTCATTCCCCATGACTTAGTCATATCTAGACTAATATAAGTCCTCATTTGTGAAATATGAGGCAGTTCTTTGATACCTATGAGTGGGTTGGGGTCACAGGATGCTTATCCTCCCCTCCCCTGGAAGGCCCAGGGGACGCTGGGCCGATGTTCCAAGTTGGAAAGGCATTCATGCCTCGTTAACAGAATGGAACTTGTCACCTCTCTAGAGGTGTATATAAAGTATCTTGGTGTAGGATAAATGTTGATGGATACCACGAAGTTGGCAGTTCAAACCCACCAGCCACTCATTGGAAACCCTATACAGGGTCACTATGAGTCAGAACTAACTAGAAAGGACTTAAAAACAACATATACGTTCTCATAGGTATAGTATGTGCCCTGGCACTGTAAAGGAATGCCACTGAACAGTTTCTATTAACCAGCTGTGAGAGATCATTTAGCAAGTTAAAGCTAATATTTAGTATTTTCAAGCTTCCATGCATCAAGGCAGACTGTGTCATCTCGTTCTGCTGAGTATAGAAAGAGAAGAAACTGGAGGAAAAAGTAAAAAAGGGCTTTAAGCACACCATAGACCAACTTTCATCAGTGAAAGGAAGAAAAGTGCAGTTGTAAAAAGTTTCATGTAGTGCCATCGTGTGCTAAATAAAAGATGGATGGGTTTTATTTATATTTTGAGCTGCTATTATGCTAAAGTTATCTAAAAGAAGGGTGTTAGATGTTTGGAGAGGGACACAGATTCAGGGCTTGCCATGGGCACTATTTCTGTAGATATGCCCCTCTGGACTGTGTTCTATACATAACTCTACCTACTTCTCCGAGTGAATAAAGAAGACCAAAGAATCGATGCTTTTGAATTATGAAGCTGAAGAATATTGAAATACCATATACTGCCAGAAGAACAAACAAACGTGTGCTGTAAGAAGTGCAGTCAAAATGCTCCTTAGAAGAGATGATGGAGAGACCTCATCTTAGGTACTTCGGACTTGTTATGAGCAGGTACCAGTCCTTGGAGAAAGGTATCATGCTTGATGAAGTGGAGCATCATGGGAAAAAGATGAAGACCCCACCACCCAGAAAGATGTACTGACACAGTGGCTGCAACAATGAGTTCAAACATAACAGCATATGTGAGGATGGCACACGACTGGGCAGTGCCCACTCCATGGCACCGAACAGCAACACTATTCCCCAAACAAGGATTTTAAGTTGTGTGCTCTAATACTGATATTTCAGAAGCACTCACCCTGAACTGTAGCAGCGGTAAGGGAGGCCAGGACCAGAGCAAGCAGTCTCATCATGGAAGAGCTGCTGCTTTTGTGGCCAGCAAGGTTCCCGGTCTTCCAAGGGTCTTCTGGTCCCTCCCCAGGGCACAAGCTCCAGACCGGTCACCAAATGCAGATATAACTTTCAAAGCTCTCCCTCTCCTAAACACCACTCTGGGAGTCTGTTGGGGCGTCTTAGTCACGCCTACTGAGAATTTAACTTCTTATCTAAGCAGTCCAGACCAAACTCTCTTATTACAAAAGTCATGAACTTGCCAAACAACTTGTTACATAAGGGTTTCGCTTTTTCTGGACTTTAACTTTAGTGCCCTGTGCACTTCCAAAAGGCAGGCAGAAGCTTGGTAACAAGGGGTAAGCTTTGATCGGATAGAACCCAGAACAAACTTTACAATTGTTAGAGCAGCTCCCAGTCCCATGACTACTGGGTAATTGAAGACAAATCTCTTAACTTCCCTGAGCTTAAATTTCATAGAACTGTAGGCTCTCAAGTTGGGAGATATCTTAAATTTCATCCACTCCCCCTTCTGTAGCCTAAATAAACTTTACAATATTCTTGCTAGATGATCTAGTGCCTCTGAAGGCAGGGGTGTATGCACAGACTGTTTTTACAGTAAAAAAAATCCATCTTCCCTAGTCCCGGATTCCACTCATGCTGTCTTTATATTCATTCAGTTTTGTTTTGTGAATTTTTAAATTGTGATTTGTGGAAGGTTTGTAGAGCAGATCAGTTTCCATTCAATAATTCATATGCATTTTGTTTCATCTCATTGACTACAGTCTCTACAATGTAACATCATGTGCCCCACATCCTCCCTGTGTTTCCTGTTTCCATTCCTCTGACTTTCTTAACCTTCTAAATTTGTTCTTGGGTAAATACTGCCCTTTTGATCTCAAAAGGTGCGTGTACCTCACAAGTGTTTCTGTTCCCCTTCTAAACCTGTCTATTGTTTGACTGAAAATAGAGCCATGGGGTTGTGTTCAGTTCCAGACCTGAGAGGTGAGTAAGGGTTACAATCTTGGAGGTCCTACCAGTTTCTATCTGACCAGTAAGCCTGCTCATTTTTTTTTTTTTTTTTAATGTTTTATTGTGAAATATGAGATCGTTTACATGGGAGAACATTAGCTTTACATTCATTCTATCGTATATCGTTTCATTGCCATGGTTACAATCCCCTCCATGCATCACCAACCAACCAAAGGGTATACACTACAAGCCTGCCCCTGTCGTCAGCACACAGCCCCTCTCCCTATCTGGACCTAAAGTC